ATTTATATATATATATATATATATATATATATATATATATATATATATATATATATATATATATATATATATATATATATATATATATATATATATATATATATATATATATATATATAATGTAATATTCATTTTTCAATTCATTTTGGTCATAAAAAATATCATTTTAATCTATATAATGTATTGTTGCCTAAATGTTGCCAAAACATACCTGTCTAACTCAAATTTTGTGCTCCAGGGTGGTCAAAGTATACATTTTGATATATTTGCAGTAGAACATTTACAGAATATATTAATCCAACATGATCTTTAGTTAATTTCCTATAAATTTTGGGTCATAAAAAAATTACTATTAACCTATATAATGTGTTTTTGCCCAAATCTTGCCAAATATATACCCATCCGACTTTCTGTAAGACTAATTTTGTGCCCCAGGGTCAAAAGATACATTTTGATATATTTGCAGTAGAACATCCACAAAATATATTGATCAAACATAATCTTTAGTTAATTTGCTATTAATTTTTGTCATAAAAGAATCTATCATTTTACCCTATACAATGCATTTTTGTCTGTTGCCAAAAATATAAACATCTTACAAACTATATGACATGTTCTTGCTCCAGGGTGACATTTATTTTGACAGAAATAATACTAATAAATCCTGACTTCAAACTTTTGTACATTAGTGTGTGTGACTTTGCTGGATGTCTTTTTTCCTAGCTCAGTAAATCCCATTCGCATTTCTAATTAACTCAAAATTTTCCGTTTTCCTGACTTTGATGCTTAGCAGATTTATTCACGCGCACGTTTCACCTTGCTTGACCAAATCAGCACACGGGCTCATTTTAGTTCTAGGATCTGCTTTTTGACAGGGAACTGTGACTCCCTGGTGTTTCTGGCTGTGTTTCCTGCTGCTTTATCCCTTTAAAGCAGAGCGGGTCCTCCACGGGTCAGTGGACAGCAGAGTCTCTCTCTTAATACAGGAGTATTGTGTTTAAGTCCAGTGGGCAGCAAGAGGGTCCGGTCTGTCAGGCTTTGTAGGTTTGTAGGGTTGTAATTTTTATTTAATTTTTTTTGATGGCATGTTTCTGTTTAGTAATGCTGTAATGTATGTTGACAGGCTGTTAAAATATACCGACTCATTTAGGGATTGTCCGGTTGTGAATTTTTTAAGGAATAGATTTTTTACTTGTACCAAGAATATTGCACACATACTNTCATGCAGTATAATNTAATGTTTATTTTAATTATTTATTTTTTATAATTTTTTTGTAGTATNTTATTCTAAACTGATTGGTAATGGCATCAATAATAATAATAATAATAATAATAATAATAATAATAATAATTGTTATACATATATTATGTATATAGAATAATAATAATGATAATTTATATTATTATTGTTATTATTATTATTATTATTATTGTTATTATTAAGATGGTGGTAATA